AACAAGCTCGGTGTAGGGCGGTTTTCACACATGCTTAACTTTCACAACTGGGCATATGGAGAGACTTTCGTTCATCTAACACAGAGGGAACGGGTTACAATAGCAACACAGTATCTGGTTTCTCAGTGTGTTTCCTAGTGCGTGTTTGACGTTCCTCCATTTTTCACTGTAAAAACGAGTTGGAGCTTGTACCTCCCCATATATATGTATGGGGTGGATTTAAAAAACGGAAGAGAAATTTTGTGTTCCCAAAACAAGGTGAAGGACAGCTTTCACACACGCTTCACTCTCAGAAATGAGCATCTGGAGAGACATTCGTTCATCTAGCACAAAGTGAACGGGTGGCAGGAGAAACACTACCTCTGGTCTCTCAGTGTGTTTCCTAGTGCTGGTATGAAGTTCCTGCAGTATTCACTGTAAAACTGAGGTGGAGCTTGTACCTCCCCATATATATGTATGCAGTAGGGTTAGCAACTGAACGGAAAATTTTTGTTTCAAACAAGGTACATGAAAGGCGGCTTTCGCACATGTTTAACTCTCAGAACTGAGCATGTGGAGAGATGTTCGCTCATCTAGCACAAAGGGAACGGGTTCCAGGAGTAACACTTACCCTGGTTTCTCAGTGTGTTTCCTACTGCTGGTATGAAGTTCCTGCAGATTTCACTGTAAAACCATTTGGAGCTTGTACCTCCATATAAATATATATGAAGTGGAGTTTGCAACTGATGGGAAAATTTGTGTTCCGAACAAGATACGTGAAGAATGGCTTTCACACAGGCTTAACTCTGAGAAATGAGGATGTGGAGAGACGTTCATTCATCTAACACGAAGGGAACGGGTTGCAGGAGAAACTATTACTCTGGTTTCTCTGTTTGTTTTCTAGTGCCGGTTTGAACTTCCTGTAGTTTTCACTATAAAACCGTGTTGGAGCTTGTACCTCCCCATATATATGAATGGATTGGAGCTTGCAACTGAAGAGAAACTTTGTGTTCCCAACAAGCTAGGTGAAGGACGGTTTTCACACACTCTTATCTCTCAGAAATGAGCATGCAGAGAGATGTTCGTTCATCTAGCACAAAGGGAACGGGTTGCAGGAGAAACACTCACTCTGGTTTCTCAGTGTGTTTATAATGCCGCTTAGAAGTTCCTGCAGTTTGCACTGTAAAAACTATTTGTAACTAGTACCTCCCCATATATATGTATGGAATGGAGTTTGCAACTGAAGACAATTTTTGTGTTCCGAACAAGTTAGGAAAAGGACGGCTTTCAAACAAGCTTAACTCACTGAATTGCGCATGTTGAGAAACGGTCGTTCATCTAGCACAAAGGGAACGGTTTGCAGGAAAAACTCTCACTCTTGTTTCTCAGTGTGTTTCCTAGTGCCATTTGGAAGTTCCTGCAGTTTTCAATGTAAAACCGAGTTGGATCTGCACCCCCCCATATATATGTGTGGGGTGCAGTTTGTAACTGAAGAGAAACTTTGTGTTTCCAGCAAGCTAGGTGAAGGACGGCTTTCACACACGCAGAAATCTCAAAACTGAGCATGTGGAGAGAGGTCGTTCATCCAAGCACAAAGGGAAACGGTTGCAGGAGAAACACTCACACTGGTTTCTCAGTGTGTTGCCTAGTGCCGGTTTGAAGTTCCTGCATTTTTCACTGTAAACCGAGATGGAGCTTGTACCTCCCCTTATATATGTATGGAGTGGAATTTGCAACTGAAGAGAAATTATGTGCTCCCAACAAGCTAGGTGAAATTTGGCTTTCACTCACGCTTAACTCTTAGAAGAGAGCATGTGGAGAGACGGACGTTCATTTAGCACAATGGGAACGGGTTGCAGGTAAACCCTCCCACTGGTTTCTCTGTGTGTTTCCTCGTGTCGGTTTGAAGTTCCTGCAGTTTTCACTGTAAAACTGTGTTGTAGTTTTACCTCCCCATATACATGTATGGAGTGGAGTTTGCAACTTAAGAGAAAATTTGTGCTCTCAAAAGGCTAGGAGAAGGACGGCTTTCACACACGCTTAATTCTAAGAAATGAGCATGTGGGGAGACGGACGTTCATTTAGCACAATGGGAACGTGTTGCAGGATAAACCCTCCCTGTGGTTTCTCCGTGTGTTCCCTAGAGTCGGTTTGAAGTTCCTGCAGTTTTCATTGTAAAACCGTGTTGTAGTTTTACCTCCCCATATACATGTATGGAGTGAATTTTGCAACTTAAGAGAAATTTTGTGCTCCGAACAAGCTAGGAGAAGGACGGCTTTCACACACGCTTAACTCTCAGAACTGAGCATGTGGAGA